TTAAGCTCCGCCATAAATAAAGCAATTACTGTGAAAAGTAAAAAAATAGAAATTATTGTGCTATTTTTTTAACTTATTTTTAAACTTAGATATTTAATATTGCGAAAAGAAATAACATGCCACCTAATTATGTTATCTAGAAAATTCGGAGTGACGAACGACACAGCGTCCAAATAACCTGAGGTTTTTGATTTAGGCAAGTATACAGGAAAACGTGTTAAATGTTCGTTTATCACACCAAGATTATTAAAAAAGATGTTAAACGGCTTTAAGTTCCACCATAGGGAAATACCAAAATCTGTAACCTTTAAGGATATTGAATATTTTTGCAATATCGTGTTCTACTCAAACATACATTCTGCATTAAAAATTGGACAAGACCTTTTAAACACCAACGATTATGTGAGGATATCTTCTGTCAATAAATATTTCAAAATGTAAAACTATAGTCGTTCAAAGCATTTCAGATCGACCGGACCAGAGTGGACTGATATGGCCCATTTTAAATACCTGTCATTCTAGACATAACTCAATCTATTTTATTTTCCGAGTTTCACGTTCCGCAAGAAAGGAATAAAAACAATGTTAAGTTCAGCCGCGATAAAATTCTATATGAAAACATGATTTTTGACCAACTTGGGTACCCTAAAAACCTCTAATATGTTGTATAGGAGGTAATCCGCCAACAAAGAACCGCAAATATCTAATTTCATCCAATTTGGTTGTACGTTGGGGCCTTACCTTCAAACTAATGAAAACCAGGAGGTAAATTTATTTATTTACCATAGAGGGTACCGTCAATGATTTTTTTTTTTGTGAAGAGTTAAAGCCAACGAAGAACCCGAAAGCTAAAATTATAACATATTTGGGTTAAAACCAAAAACCTTCAAAATACCAAAAGTCAGGGGACATTCTTATAAAGGGCACTTCCACTGGTAAGAACATCTATGGACCTCGACGAATATTTCGACTTTTTGCAAAAGGAACGACAAATTTAAAGTATTAACAAGTAAAAAGCTGTAAGTTCGACCGAGCCTTAAGCTATTACAATATTCAAATGCGAAACTTAAAAAAAATCTGTTTATAATGTAGCTAAAATCATCAAAATACCGAATATAGGGAGGTACCATGGGGGCTATAAAACGTGGACCTGCACAGACAATTTTCTGGCAGAGGCTGAGTATCCATTACGAACTTCAAATACCAAATTTGAAATAATTCCGGTAAATAATGTCGCTTAAATCATCAAAATACCGAATATCGGGTGGTACTGTTATATGGGGGCTATAGGATGAGGTGGATCTACATGGCCCATTTTTAATACCAAAAGTCCTGCAGACATAATACATATTTGAGTAAATCAGAAGTGCCCTTTTCGTATATTTGTGATTAAGCAGGAATTAAAAGTATTCGCGGTTTAATGAAATGTTCGTTAAACTTTTACTGAAAAGTTTTGGTAGAAATGTATATATATGGAGTGGGCCAATATTCCCTATTTCGTATCCTTCCTAGGGCTAACATAAATATTACAATGTGTCATATTTGGACCAAAAAGACTACTTCCTTTACTTTATATTAGATAATTGATCATTTAAAAACCAGTAAAGAAAGTCTTAAAGTCGGGCGGGCCGACTTTATGATGCCCTACAACACTACAACATATTAGAAGCCCCCTTATGTCCAAATCCATTTTCGAAGATTTCGCTTTTGAAATTATGTCACCCTTAGCATTTTGACCAGGGACATTTGTCCAATATTTACGCACTCCGTCGTGCTGTTAGTTGTGGTGGTCCATTTTACAGCTAAATATAATCCAATGGTCATCCAAAATGCTAGAATTCTTCCCCGTCTTAAACTCTCTTCTCATGCGTGTCGAATGGCTTCAATTGTGTGATCAGGAAATGTTTTCTATTTTTGGTTCATTTGAATAGCTAAATATTTTGCGATCATCTCCAAAAGCAAGAGGCCCCTCTGTATCTCCAACTTTAGACTAATCTATATGATTTGCTTGTCTACGATATTTCGTTATATTCTTCAACGAAATCAATATAAACCAGTAAAGAAAGTCCTAAAGTCGGGCGGGGCCGATTTTATGATACCCCACACCTCTTTGCTAATTTAGTTGAGCTCCACTTAATAATTAAAAGTTTTAATGGGAGAATTCAATCATACACGCTATGATTATAATTTAAAATTCAAAGGAATAAATATGCCGAAGCATTTGTATCTTCTAAATGCGGACTTGTATTGCCCATTTGGAGCACAATTAATTTGAAATCGTATAATGATATATAGACACCTATAGCCAAATCGGAACCGATCTCGATAGAATTTGGCAACGATATTTCTGAGCTGTATTTGATATATTTCCCTGAATATCATTGTTGCGGAGTGCATATTACGGCTGTAGGTAACAAATACAACAAATCGGATGAACAATATATATGGGAGCTATAGCTATATCTGAACCGATCTTTAACAAATTTGATATACCAGCTTCTTGACTCAATTCGGTCGTAAGTGCCAAATTTCATCCCATTTGGACAAATATAAGACGTTTGGTGCACAATAAAAGGTAAATCGGACGAAGTTATATATGGGAGCTATATCGAAATCTGAACCGATCTCGATAAAATTCAGCAAAGGTTTTTCTGAGCTGTATTTGATATATTCCCCAAATATTGTTGTTTCAGAGTGCATATTACGGCTGCGGAGGACAAGAATAACAAATCGGATGAATAATATATATGGGAGCTGTAGCATACTTATTTTCAGGTCTAAGTTGGTAGTATGTGCAAAATTCCATACTATTCGGGATGATATTACACGTTTGGTGCACAATAAAAAGCAAATCGTACGAAGATATATATGGGAGCTATATCTAAATTTTTACCGATTGTCTCGAATTTCGTCCTTGGGCTAAACAAATGATTGGAAAATTTCATCTCAATCGGATAATAAATGCGACCTGCATTTTGTTCACAAGAATACATGGACAGACGGACGGACGGACAGACGGACTGACATGCATAAATCAACTCAGAATGTGATTCTATGGAGATCCTCAAAAGTAACTATGGGTCTATCTCGCTTCCTTCTCCATGTTACAAACAAATGCACAAAGACATAATACCCTTACCACTATATGGTGTAGGGTAAAAAAAAATGAAATGTGTCAAAGGCGACAGATATAGGGGACTAAAGTATTCCACATTTATCGGTCTGCGGAAATCACTCTAGCTTCCGAACGAATATAAGTAGATTAATATTAATTAATTAATTATGTCTGCAGGACTGTTGGTGTAGAAAATTGTCTGTGCAGGTCAATGTCTTCGTATAACCCCCATATAACGGTACCCCCCGATATTCGGAATATTGATGATTTTAGCGATATTATTCACCAGAATTGTTTCAAATTTGGAATTTGAAGTTCGCAATGGATACTACAGCCTATGACAGAAAATTGTCTGTGCATGTTCACGCCTTCGTATAGCCCCCATATAACTGTACCTCCCGATATTCGGTACTTTGTTGATTTTAGCGACATTATTCACCGGCACTGTTTCCTATTTGATGTTCGTAGTTGATACTACAGTCTATGACAGGAAATTGTATATGCTGGTCCAAGTCTTCGTATAGCCCCCATCTAACGGTACCTCCCGATATTCGGTATTTTGATGATTCTAGCGACATTATTCACCGATTTTTTTTAAGTTTCGCATTTGAATATTGTAATGGCTAATGCCAAAAGTTACCTATGCAGGTCCATGTCTTCGTATAGACCCTAATATATCAGCTACATTCGGTATTTTTAAGATTTTAACAGAATTTTTAACCGATTTTATTGTTTTTGAGAATTGCCAAATTCGTTCCAAATGGTGAAGGGTATTCAAACTTCGACCCGGCCGAACTTACAGCTTTTGTATTTGTTTTTTTTTTGTCAAACTTCGTATTTGAATATTGTCATGGCTTATGACAAAAGTTTCCTATGCAGGTCCACGTCTTCGTATAGACCCCAATATAACGGCTATATTCGGTATTAATTCAAAGGAGCCGGATTTACTGCTTTATTAATTGTTATGAACTTTTCACTTATTCAAATTAATGACCCGTTGTGGTGGGTTTACCAGAAGGAGTGGACCGATAAAGTCCATCTTCATTCCATATTTTGTGTTCATAGAAATATTGGGATGTGCCGAGTTTTAAAGGAATAGGATGCTCATTTTCCGTTTTATAAGCTGTATGGTTATTCAAAATGTTGACCCGTTGTGGGGGAGGTACCAAAAGGTCCGATCTTTTCGTTCTTTATTATGAATGATCTTGCACTGTTCTGAAAAGTAAATTATGTGCTGTAAAAATTTTACCTTTTGTAGGGAGAAACCAAAAGAAGTGGACCGATATTGCCCATCTCCGAACTTGTTTTAAGTTTGACAATAATATTACGATGAACCAATTTTGAAGCAACTCGGATACTCCTTTCGAGAGTTTTCAAGTGAACCCGCCAGACAGGCAGACGGGACATCCTTATATCGACTCCAAATGTTCTGAAACCATTTTCTTTTTATGAAAAACAGGCTTTTAGGGCCTTTTTAATATTAGCCTAACTGTGAATGGGAATTTATTGTAGGTGATGCCGAAATAAAACTGCTTGGAATCCAGAAACATCTTTGTATTTTGAATAAAAAAGTAATAAAATATTTGTTAGCCAAAGAATATTATTATTGACACTAAAAAGAATGTAGTTTACAGGGCTATGGTCAGTTCAACTTATCTTTTCTACACCTTTGAACTTTTGTCTCGGCGATCAAAACACGCTTATGTGCAAACAGCCGTAATTGCAAAAACAACATGGACTTTCATATAATGCAAGCCATATGCAGTTGTAAACAGTTCCGGAATCATTAGACACACAAAAGGTAAACATAAAACAACCACAACAACAGCAACAACAATTGCTAGCATAAGACTTGCAAACTTCAAGTGGTTCTTATTGTTTGATTGTTGTCATGTAAGTGTTGGGGTGGAGTGCCCCCATTTCAATATAAAAATATGGAAATTTCATTGAATAGAATCAGAATAGAATCTGCGTTCCAGCTAGAAACACCGATTAGTTTTCTGTCTAATTAAACAAATTCAAATCACAAAATGAAAGTAAGTCTGGTCAACGAGAAACAAATTGTTTCTAAATCAATAACATGATTTCATTTAAATTACAGTTCGCCGTAGCTGCTTTGTTCACATTGGCCTTGGCTTTGGGTGTCCAATCATCGGTTGTTCCTCTGTGGGCCGGTCATCATCTGTCGTACACTGCTGTGGCACCATCCTTGGTTGGTCCTTGGGGACATACCGTAGTTGCCGCCGGACCTCATCCATCGGTGGCTGTGCATGCTGCCACATTGTCAGCCCCAGCTCCCAGTGTTGCTGTACATGCCGCCACCCTGTCTGCCCCTGCCCCTAGCGTAGCCGTACATGCTGCCCCAGTACATGCCGTTCATGCTGTCCATGCTCCTGTACATGGTGTTCATGCCGTTCACGCTGCTGCCGTCCATGCTGCTGCCGTACACGCTGCTCCCGTCCATGCTCCCCTTGCTGTTCACGGTGTCCAAGGTTCCTATGTAGCCAAAACCCGTGGTGCTGTACATAGCGCTCCTTTGGCCGGTCATGCCAACTCTGTGGCCAATGTGAATTTGGCTGCTGCCCCCGGAACCGTTTAAATTAGAATCTTAGAATTGGAATCGAAATCAATTTGTAGTTAATTAGGTCTTGAAACTGCGTACATTCACATTGTTCTAGTTCCCGCCCTTGTCATTTACATATTTATTTGCACTCTCTGACATTATCATTCCTTAACATTCTTTTCATCGTCACCCCCATCATTCTTCTAAATGAATAAAGCAATTACTGTGAAAAAGTAATTTTGATTTATTTTTGTTTTTAATTTCAAAAAGATTGACTATTTCTTTAGAATTAAAGGATCAGTTCATTAAGGTTTTCTGTAAAGTCGACGCTGAAGTTGAAGTCTGCAAAAGGGGAAAGTTGTCAAGTTTGATTTCATTCCATAAGGAAAAATTCAATTTTTTATGAAAATGTTAACAAAATGTATAACAATGGTGATAATCGAGCAAACATTTAGTTACAGATCCCATATATCTTCGTCCGATTTAAATTTTTTTTTGTGCGTCAAAGGAAAATTTAATTTGACAAATGCTACCAAATTGAGTCTATAAGCATATATGTCAAATTTTATGTAAATCGGTTCAGATATAGCCAAAGCTATAGCTAGCTTCTTCTAAATAGTGGAGGGTATTAAAAGTTCGGTCGGCCGAACTTAAGTGCATTTTTACTTATTTTTTTCTGATGTTCTTTATACCTTACACCACAAGGTGGTCAGGGTATTATGTCTTTGTGCATTTGTTTGTAACAGGCAAAAGGAAACGAGGTAGACCCATAGTTCCTTTTGATGATCTGCATAGAATCACATTCTGAGTCGATTTATGCATGTCCGTCCGTCCGTCTGTCCGTCTGTCCATGTATATTTGTAAACAAAGTACAGGTCGCATTTATTGCCCTATCCAGATGCAATTTTGCACAGATCATTCGTTTGGCCCAAGGACGAACCCTATTGAAATTGAAGATAATCGGTCAAAATTTAGATATAGCTCCCATATATATCTTCGTCCGATTTGCACTCTGCAACAACAATATTTGGGGAAATATATCAAATGCAGCTCAGAAATACATTTGCTAAATTTTATGGAGATCGGTTCAGATTTGGATATAGCTCCCATATATAACTTCGTCCGATTTACCTTTCATTGTGCACCAAAAGTCTAATATTTGCCCAAATTGGATGAAATTTGGCACTTATGATCGTCCAGAAGAAGTCTAGAAGCTAGTATGTCAAATTTGGTGAAGATCGGTTCAGATATAGCTATAGATCCCATATATACTGTTCATAAGATTTGTCATATTTGTTACCCACAGCCGTAATATGCACTCCGTAACAACGAAATTCAGGAAATATATCAAATACAGCTCAGAAATATCTTTACCAAATTTTATCGAGATCAGTTCCGCTTTGGATATATCTCCCATACATTTTTTTATCCGATTTCAAATTAATTGTGCACCAAATGGACAATAAAAGTCCGAATAAAGATACAAATGCTTCGGCATATTTAATCCTATGAACTTTAAATTATTATTGTGATCATAGCATGTATGATTTAATTCTCTCATAAAAACGTTTAATTGTTATGCACAGCTCTACTAAATTAGCAAAGTGGTGTAGGGTATCATAAAGTCGGCCCCGCCCGACTTTCTTTACTGGTTTTCGCATATATTTGTTACACAAGCCCTTAATATATAATGGAAAGTAAAAGCTTTCGTGTGCATATCACTGACATAAAAATCCTTTGCTCCAAAAACCCAAATATTTGTCTACAAATTAGCAAGCGAGTGTGAAAAATATATGGTCTGTTATAGAAATTCACGAATGAAAATTTTTTACTGCAGGAACCGATTTTTCCTTTATGATATCAAAAAAAAAAAAGAAAAAACAAGTTAAACAAGTAAGAAAAGGCTATAGTCGTGCGGGGCCGACTATGTTATACCCTACAACACTACAATATGTTATGTTATGTCCAAATCCATATTGGAAGATTTCGCTTTTGAAATTAGGATTTTGACTAGGGATTTATGCATTTTATTTTATGTCCATTTTACAGGTAAATATAATCCAAAATGCTAGAATTCTTTCCTGTCCTTAATTCTCTTCACAGGCGTGTCGATTGGCTTCAATTATGTGATCGGAAAAACATTTCTGTTTTTGGTTAATTTGAACCCCTAAATATTTTGCAATCATCTCCAAAAGCAAGAAGCCCCTCTGTATCTCCAAATTTAGACTCATCTATCAGAAATTCGCCTTTTGTGTATTTCGGATATCGTCTGTAAGTAATGCTGGTACTTTTTCACACAAAATTTGTGGTCCATTGTACCCGCTGTCCTAACTCTAACTTTATGCTAGATTTCGTGTCCTTTGGTTTCTATTTGTGACATTTATAACGGCTGCAAAATCAGGAAAATTTTTAGTTGTTGGTCCATTTCAACCCCCTAATATGTTGCGGACATCTTTGGAAACAATAGGCCTAGCCCTTCCGAGCCCAAACTACCCTTATAAACATTTTCGTGAGGACGATAATTGCAATCTGTATATGATAACCCCAACCTGTGTTGTAAGGTGAAAAATATTACAAAATATTATAAGTCAAGTTAAAAAATCGCATGCGATAAAAAATATGAAAAAAATACAAAATACTACAAAATCTAAATTAGCATCTTTATTGGCATCTTTTTTTAGATTTTATACTTCTATGTCAAGAGGGCATTCTGAATTGACAAAATTTGTCAAAATCGGTCCAGCCATTCTTGAGATATAAGCATTCTAACTAACATCCCCTTCCTTTATATATACACATTGTATATATTTCACTATATATGTAACCGATATATTTACTATCGGCATCTACGTAACGGTCAGAATTGACCTGTTCGTCTATTTGTGATTTCGCCGGGATAAAAAATATTCGCGGTTTAATGGAAAATTTGACTTTTATTTAACACAAATGTTGTGACCTATTTCACGCACTAAATATTACCCTATGATCATCGAAATTGAAAGGTTTCTGCCCAGCCCTAAGCTCTAGCCCCATGCTTACGTCCGCTTTAATTGGACTATAATTGCGACCTGTAGAGCAACTGCAAAATCAGGAATTTGTTCAGCTTTTGGTCCATTTCAACCCCTAAATATTATGCGAACATCTCCAAAAGAAATAGGGTTCCATTCTGACCCTAGCCCCACCCCAATTCTAAATTTCGAACTTTGGAACGAATTTTGAAATAAAATCCTTAAAAAATTCTGTTAAAAATGCTGTTTTTAAAAATACCAAATATAGCCGTTATATTTACGACGTGGGCCTACATAGGCATTGCTTGTCATAAGTCATATTCAAATTCGAAACTAGAAATAAACGATGAATAATGTAGCTAAAATTAATCAAAATATCGTATATTGGGAGGTACCGTTATATCGGAGCTGTGCGAAGACCTGGACCAACATAGAAAATTTTCTGTCATTGGCTGCAGCATCCATTACGAACTTTAAATACGACATCTCAAACGATTTCGGTGGGTATTGTACCTAAGCTCGCCAAAATACCGAATATAGGGAGGTACTAGTATATGGGACCTATACAAGGACCTTGACCTGCATAGACAATTTTCTGTCACAGACTGTAGTTCTCATTACGAACTCTAAATACGTAATTTGAAACAATTCCGGTGAATAATGACGCTAAAATCATCTACATACCGAATATAGGGAGGTAGCATTATATGGGGGCTATACGAAGACGTGGACTTGCACAGACAATTTTCTGTCTTAGGCTGTAGTATCCATTACGAACTTCAAATATAAAATTTTAAACAATTTCGGTTAATAATGTCGCTTACATCATCAAAATGCCGATTATCGGGTGGTACCGTTGTATGGGGGGCTATATGAGACAGGCAGACAGACGGACATCGCTGAATCGCTGATCAAGAATATATATACTTTGATGGGTCTGACATGAGTATTTCTAGGAGTTACAAACGGAATGACAAAGTTAATATAACCTCCATAGTATGGTGGAGGGTATAAAAACACAAAAAGGGACTGTTAAGGCCTTTGGAATGTCGGCTGTTTTGTTAGTTTAGTCCTCCACATCCGTAATATTCCCTCCATAATAATGATATTCGGGAAAATATCAAATACAGCTCACAAATAACATTACCAAATTCTATCGAGATCGGTTCAGATTTGGATATACCAGTCATTTATATTTTTATCTATTTTCATGTTTATTGTGCAAAAAATGGTTAACATAAGTCTAAATTCAATTCGATTGGCGCACACGACCAAAAAGAAAATGTGTCAAATTTAGTGAAAATTGGTTCAGATATTGGTATACCTCTCATATATATTATTCATCCGATTTGCTTTTTTTGTCCCGCACAGTCATCATATGCACTCTAAAACAACGATATTTGGTGTCAGTTAACAGATACCTCTGATTATTAGGTATAGATACTGATTTGGATACCGCTCCAATAAATTTTTCATCTGCCCAAAGTGTACGGGGTGAGACCCATTCCCGGCGAAGCGCTTGCTTGAGGTGATCGATGCTTTCCAAAATACTTAGTTTGCGTTCTCGTTGTACCTATAGATGGCGTTTAATTTTCTTAAGCTTGTCTATGAAAATTTTTACCAAGTTCAACCTGTGTTTTAATCAATTAGTAATTAATTAGTGAACTTGTTTCTATAAATACAAACATTCCGGGCTACGATTAAGAATCGTATGCTCTTCTTCCAATTGTATTTAATTTGGTATATTATTTTATAGCAGATACACAAAACTGTCTTCTTCCCTACTCAACATTCTTCGAACGAAATTCAGAGACATATTTCTCTCAGCAATCGGAAAACGATTTCAAGTAACATTACATTTAAAATCATTACAGTTCATATTTTCGTTACTAAAATCAAAACACTAGGTAGTGGGTGTAAAATTATTTGGACACTTGGAAGCATAATGTTAACATTCAGAGAAAAATTTGCTGCAGAATAGAATGAAATTTTATATGTAGAATATTTTTGTAAATACTAAATAACCTTACCAAAATTTTTTACGGTAAATTTAACTTAGTAGAAATATAGCTAAAATAACAGCTATGTTTCGCCGGGCCAAACTTTGCCTTTGTCCTCCATCATTAGGAAAGTGGGTGCTATACGAAAACGTTGACAGATATAGCTCATCTCCGATCTTGACCTGCCTACAGTCAAATTACAGCTCTATTCTAAATCTTAACACTTTCA